TAGCGAGAACAATATCCATAAGTGGTGCTAGAAATCTGATATCAGTATAAAATTACGATAACAGTAAACTGATTACTTTACACATCTCTGGTAAACACGCATTGCTTTAGTTGTCACATCATAAGAACGCATCTAAGCACTAGGAGATATAAATCTTTTAATTTCGAATATCAGAAACTTCTCTTGATCTCTTCTTTTAATATGACAAGTCTTTAATATCCCAGAACTACTGGGAACTTTAGTATGAAAATGACATGTTGCTAATGATGGTGAATACAAATTAAAAGCAAACGACTAACTAAACAGCAACAACAGCAAAACACGAAACAAAAAATTAGCTTAAAGTAACAAGGGCCACAAGTACACACAAATATAAACCTAAAAAAAACAAGGACCCTTCTTTTTTTCATTTAAAGTCTCAATAAAGACAATACAATTGAAAACAAATAACAGAAAAAAAATAATGCTGAAAGGCAACCAACAACCAGTCAACTCCAGCTGGGTAATGTCAGCAGAGCATAATGTAAAACAGTATGAGTAATAAGTATGGATGTAATAGGTATTGTAATGCAACATATGATTTCCCAACATTTTCATATGTCAGCTACCACTGGCTAATTATTTCTGAAAGAGAACACACAGTCATAGAGTGTAGTTAAACTCTGATATTTAGGCGTGTTTAACGTAACTGTCAATGTCAAAAATGAAAATAAAAATTCTTAACATAAACCAAAATTCGCTGGAATCAGGATAACATACATACATTTTAAGAAATAGAGTATGGACAAGAGAACATACACACAAATATTGTATGTTCTACACACGGAAATTTCTCATTTTGAAATATTAATAATACTTGAATCACCACCACCACGACCAGAATGAACAATTATAATGAATACTTGTAACACTTTTGTGTGTGCAATACACACGCATATTTAAGGCCAATTTAGGATTAATGTGACCAACTATGAAGAAAATTATGACAAGTGGTTCTAGTATACAGACCAGTCTGTAGTCCAGACTATAATCTATCTTCTAGATTATATTCTACATTCCAGACTACAGCCTATCGTCTAGACTACAGTTTATGTTCCATACAAAAGTCTATAGTCTGGATTATATAATATAGTCTGGATATAGTATATAGTCTAGACTATAGCCCACAACATTGTCTGAAGTCCAGGCTCTAGACTACAGTCCAGCCTGTGGACTTTAGTCCGGGCTATAGTCTATAGTCCAGACTATCGTCTATCGTCCGGACTATCGCCTATAGTCCAGACTATCGCCTATAGTCCAGACTATCGCCTATAGTCCAGACTATCGAGTATAGTCCCAACTATGGTCTATAGTCCCGACTGTAGTATATAGTCCCGACTATAGTCTATAGTCCCTACTAAAGTCTGTAGTCCCGACTATAGTCTAGAGTCACGACTATAGTCTATAGTCGGAAATAAAGACTATAGTCTATTGTCACGACTATAGTCTATAGTCCCGACTATTGTCACGACTATAGTCTATAGTCCCGACTATAGTCTATAGTCCCGACTATAGTCTATAGTCCCGACTATAGTTTATAGTCCCGACTATCGTCTATAGTCACGACTATAGTTTATAGTCCCGACTATTGTCTATAGTCACGACTATAGTCCATAGTCCCGACTATAGTCTACAGTGCCGACTATAGTCTATAGTCCCGTCTATTGTCTATAGTCCCGTCTATTGTCTATAGTCACGACTATAGTCTATAGTACCCGACTATAGTCTATAGTCCCGACTATAGTCTATAGTCCCGACTATAGTCTACAGTCACGACTATAGTCTACAGTCACGACTATAGTCTACAGTCACGACTATAGTCTACAGTCACGACTATAGTCTACAGTCACGGCTATAGTCTACAGTCACGACTATAGTCTATAGTCACGACTACAGTTTATAGTCCCGACTATAGTCTATAGTTCTAACTATAGTCTATAGTCCAATCTATAGTCTTTAGTCCAATCTATAGTCTATAGTCCGTAGTCTATAGCCTTTAGTCCAGACAATAGGCCAGACTATAGAACAGACTATGGACATTAATCCAGGACTTTTTTTGACGATCATTTTAAGCATTTCTTATAACCGAACATAAAAATTAAGTTGGTCTTATTATGATGGACGCCTGCATAATTCCTGACATGCATTAGCTGCTTGATGATTGAAAAGCCACACATGCATTATGATGGCTTTCGAGAATTGTTCTCATTCTTATAAATTCTAATGAATGTAAATCAATCCATCATATTTAAGTATTCAAAAAAAGCAACAACGAGTAAAAAAAAGAAAGAAAATAATTCTATGAAATATGAAATATCATATGACATGCATCCTTGCATGTTGTTAATCAACTGAATTGCCAACCCTATTCGGAAACGGGAGTTTCCTTTTATACTTAAACAGGTTTTTGTTGTTGGTTAATACTTGTGTGAGTATTTAAAATTAAATCCTCTTTAAAACGCATTTCAATATTTTAATTTCACTCTTTATATTTTATTATATTTGTTTGGGCCTGTTTTTTAATAATTTTTCCATATATTTATTTAATACTTAAATCGGCTGAAATTTTTTGTTGAAGTGTTTCAATCAATTCTCGTCACTTTTATTTGACATTTAAAATTTTTGTATGCCCTGATAAATAAGCTTTTGGCTTTTGCCATTTGTATTAAGTTTTTTTAATGAAAAAATCAATTCATATCGAATTTATGCGATTCCATTCAATAGTTTCATATTAAAGTGGGTCATTATATTACCTTTCATGTGGATAGAGGCGAATTTTTTATACCCTGCCTTAATATAGTTAGATAGTAGTGATAAACGACCTCAGTATTTTGAATATTTAAAGAAAGTATATACAAATTCTACTATTTCAGATATATTCGATATAAATTTTAAATATCTTTCTATCGATGATGAATAAACTTACTTCATACTCTAAACTGTAGGGTATATATTATTCAAAGTCACTACTTTTACTTCAATAATATTGCTCCATATCTCCATTGTGTTATAATAGGCAATATACCTATTACAAAAACTCTGGTAATTTTTTATGGTTATCGTTAAAAGTATGGGAAAAAAACGAATCCACAACTCAAAATTTAATGCTACAATCATTTGCATTAAGTGCAATAATACCTCTTATTCTCCATTGTATCAACAATAATGCAGATTTTTCATTATTTTTTTCAACTCTCGTGTGTTTGCGGTAGTGATTTATTAAAGAAACGCGTGTCTCGTTTCGTTAATTTTCCTGCACTTTTTTAACCAAAGTCAGTGCAAATTTGTGCCTTCAAATGGCTTTGTTTTAAATTATGCAAAATTATTTAAATTATGCGTATCATGTCAGCATAAATTCATTAAAAAATCATGATTTCTTTCACGATATGTATGTTATATTTAAAGCTGCGACTGTGGATGAATTTATGCAAAAAATATTTGCTAATTTAGAACTTAATTCAAAAACAGAACTAGAACTAAACTAGAACTGAACTAGAACTGAACTAGAACTGAACTAGAACTGAACTAGAACTGAACTAGAACTGAACTAGAACTGAACTAGAACTGAACTAGAACTGAACTAGAACTGAACTAGAACTGAACTAGAACTGAACTAGAACTGAACTAGAACTGAACTAGAACTGAACTAGAACTGAACTAGAACTGAACTAGAACTGAACTAGAACTGAACTAGAACTGAACTAGAACTGAACTAGAACTGAACTAGAAATGAACTAACTGAACTAGAACTGAACTAGAACTGAACTAGAACTGAACTAGAACTGAACTAGAACTGAACTAGAACTAGAACTGAACTAGAACTGAACTAACTGAACTAGAACTAGAACTAGAACTGAACTAGAACTGAACTAGAACTGAACTAGACCTGAACTAGACCTGAACTAGAACTGAGCTAGAACTGAACTAGAACTGAACTAGAACTGAACTAGAACTGAACTAGAACTGAACTAGAACTGAACTAGAACTGAACTAGAACTGAACTAGAACTGAACTAGAACTGAACTAGAACTGAACTAGAACTGAACTAGAACTGAACTAGAACTAGCACTGAACTAGCACTGAACTAGAACTGAACTAGACTGAACTAGAACTGAACTAGAACTGAACTAGAACTGAACTAGAACTGAACTAGAACTGAACTAGAACTGAACTAGAACTGAACTAGAACTGAACTAGAACTGAACTGAACTAGAACTGAACTAGAACTGAACTGAACTAGAACTGAACTAGAACTGAACTAGAACTGAACTAGAACTGAACTAGAACTGAACTAGAACTGAACTAGAACTGAACTAGAACTGAACTAGAACTGAACTAGAACTGAACTAGAACTGAACTAGAACTGAACTAGAACTGAACTAGAACTGAACTAGAACTGAACTAGAACTGAACTAGAACTGAACTAGAACTGAACTAGAACTGAACTAGAACTGAACTAGAACTGAACTAGAACTGAACTAGAACTGAACTAGAACTGAACTAGAACTGAACTAGAACTGAACTAGAACTGAACTAGAACTGAACTAGAACTGAACTAGAACTGAACTAGAAACTGAACTAGAACTGAACTAGAACTGAACTAGAACTGAACTAGAACTGAACTACTGAACTAGAACTGAACTAGACTGAACTAGAACTGAACTAGAACTGAACTAGAACTGAACTAGAACTGAACTAGAACTGAACTAGAACTGAACTAGAACTGAACTAGAACTGAACTAGAACTGAACTAGAACTGAACTAGAACTGAACTAGAACTGCTCCAGAAAAGAAATATAACTTTCTTTTTATAAAATGTTGCTGGCGATTAAACTTCCAACAGTGCTCCAATTATTATGTCAGTTTTATTTTTATAAAAAAAGAATGATTGCAAAATTTCCGGAAAATACAAGCATGTATTTATATAAAACAATTCTAATAGATCTTAAAAATAAACTCACCTGTATCGCAGATCTCGCACCCCGACTTATGGCCGGCATAACACTAGTATGCAGAACACATTGTTTCTTCTGGCCATAGGTCATGCCATCGACCTGATAACAATTATCGGGATTCAAATCGATAGGTTCCGAATAGGCGGGTACCGTCGGACTAGCAGTTGTAGCATTAGGGGGCAACATACCAAATTGTTCGGGATTTGTAATGAGAAAATCTCTCCCACCACTTGCCGCTACCATTGAATCACGTTCTAAAAAAGCACTAGCACCATATTTTGAAGCAAATTTATCGTTACTCGATGACGAACGACCCGCTAGACCACCACCTATATTACGTCTTTTATGGGTGGATCTTACAAAACGTGAAAGAATTTGTAGATTTTCTTCTCCTCTTGAGTAACGTGAGTCGGTATTATTTATTTTAAAAGAATCGGGTATTTCAATTGACACGGCAAAACGTTTGGTGTTATTAATGGTCTGCATGTAGGGTTCATAGCGGGGCATATATTTCTCTTGTTCCCTTAACAAAGCCTCACGATCACGTTGGCGCTGTTGTTCTTCACGTTTGCGTTGTCGTATACATTTAGGGGATTCTGGATTGCGTACACAAGGTGGCAGTTTAGTGGGTTTTGTAGGACGTCTAGTAGTAGTGGTGGTGGTTGTCGTTGTGGTCGTTGTAGTGGTTGTTGTGCTGGTAGTACTAGCCGGACTGGAGTTTATTCTTCGGCCTTGACTATCCTTATTTTGATCGTTGAGTAGTAATACTTGTGGTACTATGGCAATTTTATCTTTATGCACCGGCTGTAGAAATGCCGACAAAGAATCCTCATCATCCTCATTGTGATAGTAGCCACCAAACGGTGGTGTTTGTGGTACTTTACTATTAACATTCAAAGAAGTGCCTTGCGAGTTTTTGCGTGTAGGAGGTGCTGCATATTGATATATCGGTCTCATGGGTACTTTGGGCATTGATGTGGTGGCTACTGGTTGAGGAACTTTTTGTTTATCTTTTTGTAGACTTGGAAATACCACAAATTTTGATTGGAAATTACTATCATGTTTCGTAAGATTCTGCAGAAATAATATATGTTTCTTTAAATCTTCTATATTTGAAGCAAACTCGGGTGTAGCCGGTGTTGTGGGCTTCTTAGTTGTTGTCGTTGTAGTTGTGGTTGCTTTTGTAGTGGCCGATAACATAGAACTTCTAGCCATTGTTTGTGCATAACGAGGATCTGGTTGTGAATTTTTCAATGCCATGGGCACTATAAATTTACGATCCTCATCGGTTAAACTGGCTGGTAAACCATTTTCATCTGTATCTTCATCGAGTAAAATAATTTGTTTTTGATCCATTTCTTCTTGAATGGGATGAAGTCGTCGCTGATTCTGCATTCTTTGACTGACGGCGGGTGAGACTTTTTTTGTAAGATTGGCTTTGACAAAACCCGTTTCTGAATCTCTCAAATCGACAGGTTTTATAAAAGTACCCAACTTCCGCAGACCCTCTTGATGCATTAAGGCCTGTTCGTCTTTTGTTATATTAAGCGGTATACTGTTATTGGCCAGTACTTCAAATTCATTCCGAAACTCAATGAAGGGAGATTTTAAACCAAGAGCTCTGTAAGAAAATAATAGAAAATTTCAAAATTAAATGAAGGAATAAAATAAGTCAGTATTTAGTAACAATTATATTCATTATTTCCTTTGATAAACTTTCAGTCCCAGGTAAAAATTTAGAAATTTTAGAATAAAACAAAATATTTTTACTTAAACAAAATATTCTCTAGACTTTATTTATTGTTTGGATTAACTTTATTATTACATAGTATATATATTTCTAATGCTTAAGAATTTTTGACTAATTTGGAGTTCCATAAATTTCCACCATACTTTTGATGCCGAAACCACGTTGACTAGTAAATGTATAGTGACAGCATCAGTATTGAGACCCCCAGTTGTTATTACAGCAGCAGCGCCGCCAAATGGCTTAACATCGGTGATTCTGATATAAGAAATTTTAGGAGGTGTTGGGCTCTAAAGTAAGGAAAACAGAACACAAGGAAGAAATTAAGAAATGAGTTTAGAAAACTAAATAGAATTGAACTAGAATTGAATTAGAACTGAACTAAAACTGAACTAAAACTGAACTAGAACTGAACTAGAACAGAACTAGAAAGAACTAGAACAGAACTAGGACAGAACTAGAACTAGAACAGACTAGAACAGAACTAGAACAGAACTAGAACAGAACTAGAACAGAACTAGAACAGAACTAGAACAGAACTAGAACAGAACTAGAACAGAACTAGAACAGAACTAGAACAGAACTAGAACAGAACTAGAACAGAACTAGAACAGAACTAGAACAGAACTAAACAGAACTAGAACAGAACTAGAACAGAACTAGAACAGAACAGAACTAGAACAGAACTAGAACAGAACTAGAACAGAACTAGAACAGAACTAGAACAGAACTAGAACAGAACTAGAAACAAATAGAATCGAAACTAGAACAGAACTAGACCAGAACTAGAACAGAACTAGAACAGAACTAGAACAAAACTAGAACAGAACTAGAACAGAACTAGAACAGAACTAGAACAGAACTAGAACAGAACTAGAACAGAACTAGAACAGAACTAGAACAGAACTAGAACAGAACTAGAACAGAACTAGAACAGAACTAGAACAGAACTAGACAGAACTAGAACAGAACTAGAACAGAACTAGCACAGAATAGCACTGAACTAGAACTGAACTAGAAGAACTAGAACTGAACTAGAACTGAACTAGAACTGAACTAGAACTGAACTAGAACTGAACTAGAAGAACTAGAACTGAACTAGAACTGAACTAGAACTGAACTAGAACTGAACTAGAACTGAACTAGAACTGAACTAGAACTGAACTAGAACTGAACTAGAACTGACTAGAACTGATACTAGAACTGAACTAGAATAGAAACTAGAACAGAACTAGAACAGAACTAGAACAGAACTAGAACAGAACTAGAACAGAACTAGAGCAGAACTAGAAACAGAACTATAGAACAAGAACTAGAACAGAACTAGAACAGAACTAGAATTGAACTAGAACAGAACTAGAACAAGAAATAGAACAGAACTAGAAAAGAACTAGAAAAGAACTAGAACTGAACTAGAACAGAACTAGAAACAGAACTAGAATCGAACTAAAACAGAACTAGAACAGAACTAGAATTGAACTAAAACATAACTAGAACAGAACTAGAACAGAACTAGAAAAGAACTATAACAGAACTAGAACTGAAACTAGAACTGAACTAGAACAGAACTAGAACAGAACTGTAACAGAACTAGAACAGAACTAGAACTAAAGTTTCTGGTTAAATACGATTCCAACTTACATCTCCTTTGTAACATAATCGTAAGTGGTTACTACTCCAAAAAATCCAGATTTTACAACCATTTGTCTAGCCAACAGAACTTCGTTTGTGTTATGTGTACCCCAGACATAATTATTCTTATGGGCGCTTATCAGACCGATTAAGCCAAAAACCAATAGGGCGCTAACTAGATATCTGGACATGTTTCAAATACTATGTATTCTAAGATATGTTATAAAATTTGAACTGTTTTTTACTAAGACAAATTCTAGTATTTATACAAAATTTGGGAAAACAGAAAATTATCTTCCATTACATTTAACAGTTGAGATATCAGAACTCTTTCACTATCTGTTATAGATATCACAAGAGATTTTGTAATATTTTTGCCCATGACACTTATCTTACAAAGTTTTACAAGTTTTCTGTAATTAAATACAAAATTTTATTGTTATTTTTTTAACAAAACTTATAAATTATATAGTATTTATTTATGTTATTTAACGACCCCAAATTCTCCACTTCATCTTTAATGCCGTGACCACGTTGTGATGTAAATCTAATGGTGGCTCCTTTGGAACCAGGGCCGCCACTAAGCAATTCAGCTGTGGCGCCATCTTTCTTCTTAGATCAGTCACCTTAATAGCAGTGATGGTGTAAGCATTGAGGCTCTATATAAATTAATAATTATTTGTAATATTCATATCATTGCCATTACTTTCTTATATTACACTTACATCTTGTTTTTGAAAACATATTTCTCTTTTACCACCAAGCCCAATACGAAGGCTTTACTAACGATCTTTTTCGATATCAGAGTATCCCGGCTGCCAATTTCTCCCCATAAATAATTATTGCCCGCACTAACTGATACGACAAGTGTTAACACCACAAAACTTAAAACCAATAAATTTTTCATATTTCTTCTGGAATTTTTTTGAATTAAAAATTGATTTCTTAAATAAATCATATTGCTAGATGTTGTGCCGTTTTTATAGCAACTATGGTCTAGGTTGGATTTAGCTAAACGTGATGTTTTTTTCTAAATTAATATTGTTATAGCACATGATTACTTGCCAACAGATAAAAGTATTTTTTAGAAATATAGTATATTTGTATTTCTACTATATATTTGTTGCACTTTAAATTAAACGATTAATAAGTTGGAGAGTACTTATAATTAATCATTTTTATTATTAAAATTGTATTAATTTTAAGTTTCATCGTTTTTTTATTAATGATTTTTTATCACAACCAAACAATTTGCATCAGTGATGCAATTTTGTTTTAGTACTTTTTTGTGATTCATAGAAAATGTATTATCTTATCAATGTATATAATTCTAGATTTACGAAGACTTATTCAGTACATAATTCTACAGCAGTTCTAGCTCAGTTCTAATTCAATTATAGTTCAGTTCCAGTTCTGTTGTAGTTCTGTTCTAGTTCTGTTCTAGTTCTGTTCCAGTTCTGTTCTAGTTCTGTACTGTTCTGTTCTAGTTCTGTTCTAGTTCTGTTGTAGTTCTGTTCTAGTTCCGTTCTAGTTCTGTTCTAGTTCTGTTCTAGTTCTGTTCTAGTTCTGTTCTAGTTCTGTTCTAGTTTGTTCTAGTTTTGTTCTAGTTCTGTTCTAGTTTTCTAGTTCTAGTTCTGTTCTAGTTCTATGTTCTAGTTCTGTTCTAGTTCTGTTCTAGTTCTGTTCTAGTTCTGTCTAGTTCTGTTCTAGTTCTGTTCTAGTTCTGTTCTAGTTCTGTTCTAGTTCTGTTCTAGTTCTGTTCTAGTTCTGTTCTAGTTCTGTTCTAGTTCTGTTCTAGTTCTGTTCTAGTTCTGTTCTAGTTCTGTTCTAGTTTGTTCTAGTTCTGTTCTAGTTCTGTTCTAGTTCTGTTCTAGTTCTGTTCTAGTTCTGTTCTAGTTCTGTTCTAGTTCTGTTCTAGTTCGTTCTAGTTCTGTTCTAGTTCTGTTCTAGTTCTGTTCTAGTTCTGTTCTAGTCTGTTCTAGTTATGTTCTAGTTTGTTCTAGTTCTGTTCTAGTTCTGTTCTAGTTCTGTTCTAGTTCTGTTCTAGTTCTGTTCTAGTTCTGTTCTAGTTCTGTTCTAGTTCTGTTCTAGTTCTGTTCTAGTTCTGTTCTAGTTCTGTTCTAGTTCTGTTCTAGTTCTGTTCTAGTTCTGTTCTAGTTTGTTCTAGTTCTGTTCTAGTTCTGTTCTAGTTCGTTCTAGTTCTGTTCTAGTTCTGTTCTAGTTCTGTTCTAGTTCTGTTCTAGTTCTGTTCTAGTTCTGTTCTAGTTCTGTTCTAGTTCTAGTTTGTTCTAGTTCTAGTTCTGTTCTGTTTAGTTCTGTTCTAGTTCTGTTCTAGTTCTGTTCTAGTTCTGTTCTAGTTCTGTTCTAGTTCTGTTCTAGTTCTGTTCTAGTTCTGTTCTAGTTCTGTTCTAGTTTGTTCTAGTTCTGTTCTAGTTCTGTTCTAGTTCTGTTCTAGTTCTGTTCTAGTTCTGTTCTAGTTCTGTTCTAGTTCTGTTCTAGTTCTGTTCTAGTTCTGTTCTAGTTCTGTTCTAGTTCTGTTCTAGTTCTGTTCTAGTTCTGTTCTAGTTCTGTTCTAGTTCTGTTCTAGTTCTGTTCTAGTTCTGTTCTAGTTCTGTTCTAGTTCTGTTCTAGTCTGTTCTAGTTCTGTTCTAGTTCTGTTCTAGTTCTGTCTAGTTCTGTTCTAGTTCTGTTCTAGTTCTGTTCTAGTTCTGTTCTAGTTCTGTTCTAGTTCTGTTCTAGTTCTGTTCTAGTTCTGTTCTAGTTCTGTTCTAGTTCTGTTCTAGTTCTGTTCTAGTTCTGTTCTAGTTCTGTTCTAGTGTATCTGTTCTAGTTCTGTTCTAGTTCTGTTCTAGTTCTGTTCTAGTTCTGTTCTAGTTCTGTTCTAGTTCTGTTCTAGTTCTGTTCTAGTTCTGTTCTAGTTCTGTTCTAGTTCTGTTCTAGTTCTGTTCTAGTTCTAGTTTGTCTAGTTCTCTGTTCTGTTCTGTTCTGTTCTGTTGTTCTAGTTCTGTTCGTTCTGTTCTGTTCTGTTCTAGTTCTGTTATGTTCTGTTCTAGTTCTGTTCTAGTTCTGTTCTAGTTCTGTTCTAGTTCTGTTCTAGTTCTGTTCTAGTTCTGTTCTAGTTCTGTTCTAGTTCTGTTCTAGTTCTGTTCTAGTTCTGTTCTAGTTCTGTTCTAGTTCTGTTCTAGTTCTGTTCTAGTTCTGTTCTAGTTCTGTTCTAGTTCTGTTCTAGTTCTGTTCTAGTTCGTTCTAGTTGTTCTAGTTCTGTTCTAGTTCTGTTCTAGTTCTGTCTAGTTCTGTTCTAGTTCTGTTCTAGTTCTGTTCTAGTTCTGTTCTAGTTCTGTTCTAGTTCTGTTCTAGTTCTGTTCTAGTTCTGTTCTAGTTCTGTTCTAGTTCTGTTCTAGTTCTGTTCTAGTTCGTTTAGTTCTGTTCTAGTGTCTAGTGTTCTAGTTCTGTTCTAGTTCTGTTCTAGTTCTGTTCTAGTTCTGTTCTAGTTCTGTTCTAGTTCTGTTCTAGTTCTGTTCTAGTTCGTTCTAGTTCTGTTCTAGTTCTGTTCTAGTTCTGTTCTAGTTCTGTTCTAGTCTGTTCTAGTTCTGTTCTAGTTCTGTTCTAGTTCTGTTCTAGTTCTGTTCTAGTTCTGTTCTAGTTCTGTTCTAGTTCTGTTCTAGTTCTGTTCTAGTTCTGTTCTAGTTCTGTTCTAGTTCTGTTCTAGTTCTGTTCTAGTTCTGTTCTAGTTCTGTTTATTTCTAGTTCTGTTCTAGTTCTGTTCTGTTCTGTTCTAGTTCTGTTCTAGTTGTCTAGTTCTGTTCTAGTTCTAGTTGTTCTAGTTCTGTTCTAGTTCTGTCTCTAGTTCTGTTCTAGTTCTGTTCTAGTTCTGTTCTAGTTCTGTTCTAGTTCTGTTCTAGTTCTGTTCTAGTTCTGTTCTAGTTCTGTTCTAGTTTCTGTTCTAGTTCTGTTCTAGTTCTGTTCTAGTTCTGTTCTAGTTCTGTTCTAGTTCTGTTCTAGTTCTGTTCTAGTTTTGTTCTAGTTCTGTTTTAGTTCAGTTCTAGTTCAGTTCTTTCAGTTCTAGTTCAGTTCTAGTTCAGTTCTAGTTCAGTTCTAGTCAGTTCTAGTTCAGTTCTAGTTCAGTTCTAGTTCAGTTGTTTTTCTAGTTCAGTTCTAGTTCAGTTCTAGTTCTGTTCTAGTTCTGTTCTAGTTCTGTTCTAGTTCTGTTCTAGTTCTAGTTCTGTTCTAGTTTTGTTCTAGTTCTGTTCTAGTAATAGTTCTGTTCTATTCTAGTTCTGTTCTACTTCTGTTGTAGTTCTGTTCTCTTCTAGTTGCAGTTTAAGTTCAGCTCATAATTATTATAACATAGCGCTAAAAAATCTCTCAGTTAAACTTAAACTTGCTAATACATAATGTGGTCGTTGTACGAGAATAATTTCCCTAAGTGATTCATATTTAATAGTTGTTAAGTATTGTCTACATAATAAATAAAACATGGTGTGGTACGTGGCTTTCAATTCCCTCGCAAAAACCCCTTTCTTACAATAATCGCATTTGTGTATTCTGTCGGTTTGTGAAAAAATAGAGCAAATACACTCAAAATGTTTAAGATAATAAATAGAAACCAGCTGGCTTGAATAATTGCTGTTGGAGCTAATTAATTAGTTTGAAATCGTAATTGCTGCTAGCATCTCATAAAAATAATACACCCTTTAAACTAAAAATAGAAAAAATATTTTACAAAGAAAAATGTTAAACAAATTTAAAATTTTATTAATATTAATAATACTGAATGTGTTAACTCATGATGATGTTTTAGCGGCCAAAAGTGAAAATATTAACACTCATGATGCCATTTGGGGAGCACGTAGTCAACGAGATGTGCATATGAGTAGACAAATTGTTGTGGACAAGGCCAAAACTATGCGTGTTATAAGTGGAGATTATGAGTTTAGACCAAAAGTAAGTTTTGCTGTTTTTTTTTTTTTTTTTAAATACAAATTCTGATTTGTTAATTAATTTTTTAAAACATTTACAGCCTGGTGATTGCATTATGGTCGAACAATAACTCAAATCCAAGTTACCGATCAATACAAAAATGGCAATGGTGGTTATGCCACCTTAAAGGATGGTGGTCCCAGCACCCATTATGCTGTCATTCATTTAAAATCTCAACGTAATCATGGCTATAATTTCATTATTGACATTTATGGTCAATAACTGTATTTGTTTTTAGTTAATTAATGCAAAGATAAATTAAATGAAATACGCCGAAAAACTATTTACTGTTATTATTATAAATCGAGTTTATTTTGTAGACTTTTAATTAAAATTGTAAATAAATGATTTCGTATGAAAATTATTTAAATACACATTTTTGTTTATTTTAGAATGTATGTAAGTAAGAACATTTGTTAGGTAATAGTCGAATAGATGATAAGCTACAGTAATTATTATGGACATATTAACTCATTTATTAGATTTATGCTTATATTTTAGATCAGATCTAATTCAGTTCTAGTTCAGTTCTGGTTCAGTACTGGTTCAGTTCTAGTTCAGTTCTAGTTCAGTTCTAATTCAGTTCTAGTTCTAGTTCAGTTCTAGTTCAGTTCTAGTTCAGTTCTAGTTCAGTTCTAGTTCAGTTCTAATTCAGTTCTAGTTCAGTTCTAGTTCAGTTCTAATTCAGTTCTAGTTCAGTTTTAGTTCAGTTCTAGTTCAGTTCTAGTTCAGTTCTAGTTCAGTTCTAGTTCAGTTCTAGTTCAGTTCTAGTTCAGTTCTAGTTCAGTTCTAGTTCAGTTCTAGTTCAGTTCTAGTTCAGTTCTAGTTCAGTTCTAGTTCAGTTCTAGTTCAGTTCTAGTTCAGTTCTAGTTCAGTTCTAGTTCAGTTCTAGTTCAGTTCTAGTTCAGTTCTAGTTCAGTTCTAGTTCAGTTCTAGTTCAGTTCTAGTTCAGTTCTAGTTCAGTTCTAGTTCAGTTCTAGTTCAGTTCTAGTTCAGTTCTAGTTCAGTTCTAGTTCAGTTCTAGTTCAGTTTAGTTCAGTTCTAGTTCAGTTCTAGTTCAGTTCTAGTTCAGTTCTAGTTCAGTTCTAGTTCAGTTCTAGTTCAGTTCTAGTTCAGTTCTAGTTCAGTTCTAGTTCAGTTCTAGTTCAGTTCTAGTTCAGTTCTAGTTCAGTTCTAGTTCAGTTCTAGTTCAGTTCTAGTTCAGTTCTAGTTCAGTTCTAGTTCAGTTCCAGTTCAGTTTTAGTTCAGTTCTAGTTCAGTTCTAGTTCAGTTCTAGTTCAGTTCTAGTCAGTTCTAGTTCAGTTCTAGTTCAGTTCTAGTTCAGTTCTAGTTCAGTTCTAGTTCAGTTCTAGTTCAGTTCTAGTTCAGTTCTAGTTCAGTTCTAGTTCAGTTCTAGTTCAGTTAGTTCAGTTCTAGTTCAGTTCTAGTTCAGTTCTAGTTCATTCTAGTTCAGTTCTAGTTCAGTTCTAGTTCAGTTCTAGTTCAGTTCTAGTTCAGTTCTAGTTCAGTTCTAGTTCAGTTCTAGTTCAGTTCTAGTTCAGTTCTAGTTCAGTTCTAGTTCAGTTCTAGTTCAGTTCTAGTTCAGTTTAGTTCAGTTCTAGTTCAGTTCTAGTTCAATTCTAGTTCAATTCTAGTTCAGTTCTAGTTCAGTTTTAGTTCAGTTCTAGTTCAGTTCTAGTTCATTCTAGTTCAATTCTAGTTCAGTTCTAGTTCAGTTCTAGTTCAGTTCTAGTTCAGTTCTAGTTCAGTTCTAGTTCAGTTCTAGTTCAGTTCTAGTTCAGTTCTAGTTCAGTTCTAGTTCAGTTCTAGTTCAGTTCTAGTTCAGTTCTAGTTCAGTTCTAGTTCAGTTCTAGTTCAGTTCTAGTTCAGTTCTAGTTCAGTTCTAGTTCAGTTCTAGTTCAGTTCTAGTTCAGTTCTAGTTCAGTTCTAGTTCAGTTCTAGTTCAGTTCTAGTTCAGTTCTAGTTCAGTTCTAGTTCAGTTCTAGTTCAGTTCTAGTTCAGTTCTAGTTCAGTTCTAGTTCAGTTCTAGTTCAGTTCTAGTTCAGTTCTAGTTCAGTTCTAGTTCAGTTCTAGTTCAGTTCTAGTTCAGTTCTAGTTCAGTTCTAGTTCAGTTCTAGTTCAGTTCTAGTTCAGTTCTAGTTCAGTTCTAGTTCAGTTCTAGTTCAGTTCTAGTTCAGTTTCAGTTCAGTTCTAGTTCAGTTCTAGTTCAGTTCTAGTTCAGTTCTAGTTCAAGTTCTAGTTCAGTTCTAGTTCAGTTCTAGTTCAGTTCTAGTTCAGTTCTAGTTCAGTTCTAGTTCAGTTCTAGTTCAGTTCTAGTTCAGTTCTAGTTCAGTTCTAGTTCAGTTCTAGTTCAGTTCTAGTTCAGTTAGTTCAGTTCTAGTTCAGTTCTAGTTCAGTTCTAGTTCAGTTCTAGTTCAGTTCTAGTTCAGTTCTAGTTCAGTTCTAGTTCAGTTCTAGTTCAGTTCTAGTTCAGTTCTAGTTCAGTTCTAGTTCAGTTCTAGTTCAGTTCTAGTTCAGTTCTAGTTCAGTTCTAGTTCAGTTCTAGTTCAGTTCTAGTTCAGTTCTAGTTCAGTTCTAGTTCAGTTCTAGTTCAGTTCTAGTTCAGTTCTAGTTCAGTTCTAGTTCAGTTCTAGTTCAGTTCTAGTTCAGTTCTAGTTCAGTTCTAGTTCAGTTCTAGTTCAGTTCTAGTTCAGTTCTAGTTCAGTTCTAGTTCAGTTCTAGTTCAGTTCTAGTTCAGTTCTAGTTCAGTTCTAGTTCAGTTCTAGTTCAGTTCTAGTTCAGTTCTAGTTCAGTTCTAGTTCAGTTCTAGTTCAGTTCTAGTTCAGTTCTAGTTCAGTTCTAGTTCAGTTCTAGTTCAGTTCTAGTTCAGTTCTAGTTCAGTTCTAGTTCAGTTCTAGTTCAGTTCTAGTTCAGTTTAGTTCAGTTCTAGTTCAGTTCTAGTTCAGTTCTAGTTCAGTTCTAGTTCAGTTCTAGTTCAGTTCTAGTTCAGTTCTAGTTCAGTTCTAGTTCAGTTCTAGTTCAGTTCTAGTTCAGTTCTAGTTCAGTTCTAGTTCAGTTCTAGTTCAGTTCTAGTTCAGTTCTAGTTCAGTTCTAGTTCAGTTCTAGTTCGTTCTAGTTCAGTTCTAGTTCAGTTCTAGTTCAGTTCTAGTTCAGTTCTAGTTCAGTTCTAGTTCAGTTCTAGTTCAGTTCTAGTTCAGTTCTAGTTCAGTTCTAGTTCAGTTCTAGTTCAGTTCTAGTTCAGTTCTAGTTCAGTTCTAGTTCAGTTCTAGTTCAGTTCTAGTTCAGTTCTAGTTCAGTTCTAGTTCAGTTCTAGTCAGTTCTAGTTCAGTTCTAGTTCAGTTCTAGTTCAGTTCTAGTTCAGTTCTAGTTCAGTTCTAGTTCAGTTCTAGTTCAGTTAGTTCAGTTATAGTCAGTTCTAGTAGTCTAGTTCAGTTCTAGTTCAGTTCTAGTTCAGTTCTAGTTCAGTTCTAGTTCAGTTCTAGTTCAGTTCTAGTTCAGTTCTAGTTCAGTTCTAGTTCAGTTCTAGTTCAGTTCTAGTTCAGTTCTAGTTCAGTTCTAGTTCAGTTCTAGTCAGTTCTAGTTCAGTTTCTAGTTCAGTTCTAGTTTCAGTTCTAGTTCAGTTCTAGTTCTGTCAGTTCTAGTTCAGTTCTAGTTCAGTTCTAGTTCAGTTCTAGTTCAGTTCTAGTTCAGTTCTAGTTCAGTTCTAGTTCAGTTCTAGTTCAGTTCTAGTTCAGTTTCTAGTTCAGTTCTAGTTCAGTTCTAGTTCAGTTCTAGTTCAGTTCTAGTTCAGTTCTAGTTCAGTTCTAGTTCAGTTCTAGTTCAGTTCTAGTCAGTTCTAGTTAGTTTTAGTTCAGTTCTAGTTCAATTCTAGTTCAATTCTAGTTCAGTTCTAGTTCAGTTCTAGTTCAGTTCTAGTTCAGTTTCTAGTTCAGTTCTAGTTCAGTTCTAGTTCAGTTCTAGTTCAGTTCTAGTTCAGTTTTAGTTCAGTTCTAGTTCAGTTCTAGTTCAATTCTAGTTCAATTCTAGTTTCAGTTCTAGTTCAGTTCTAGTTCAGTTCTAGTTCAGTTCTAGTTCAGTTCTTAGTTCAGTTCTAGTTCAGTTCTAGTTCAGTTCTAGTTCAGTTCTAGTTCAGTTCTAGTTCTGTTCTAGTTCAGTTCTAGTTCAGTTCTAGTTTAATTCTAATTCAAACGGATATTGGGTTTTAGACAATACAAACATCAACTCAAGCGTCTAAAACCATGTGCAGGGTGTAAACGCAAACACTGCATTATAATAATATAGTTTCATGTTCAAATGATGATATTAAAACCTCAACATAAATGTTTAATCAATGTCAATATCAATTGTCAATAACAAAAGAGGATTTTTTTTCTGGGGTTTAGTAAAGTTCAAAAATAATTATTGGTCGTTTTTGTGATTTTCGTTTTATTTATTTTGCAAATGATTAGATAATTAGGTAATTGACACATTGAAATTATTTTTGCATTTGCTTCCCTGTAGGTGTATTTATTTGGGAAAAAAGGATTAAAATGAACAAGTAGCATTAGCAATTACTTTGACACACAAATAGGTAATTATTTTCAAATATGTAATTATAACTTAGCAAAGATTTATACAGTAATAATTTAAATTAATGTGTAAATTAAAAGAGACTAGAAAATTCAAATAAGCTGTTGTATTTTCCATATAGTGCTCCCTTGGAGAAAATAAACAAAACGCCTCTGTTTGAATGTTAAAAAAATAGATAACTTTTGCCTAATTTTAGGCTGCAAGAAAAAAAATTCAGCCGTTTTTTATTTAAACAACACCGGGTGTCTAGATAAAATTTAACTATCTTGTTTATTCAAGACTGATGTAAAAATAAAAAAAAACAATTGTTATTATTTAATTGATAAGATAACAATGTGCTGTACGGAGAATTTTAGCAAACACTGGAAAAAAAGTACAATACAAATGAAAAAAAAAAAACAATAATTTATTAATTCGTCAAGAACAGAACCACAAGTGTGAATGATTCACATTTAAGATGTGAAAACAATTTTAAAACTAAAATAAAAAACAGATATATAATAACATATGTACACGCAACAAAATGTTATATAGATCTAGTACGATATCGACACTTAAAACGTAAACACACTGGTTAAACTATTGAGCGAAAATTAATTAAGAATATGAAATCCTTAACCGTATTAAGCATTTTAGCAGGAGCTATACTATTGCTAACCGTAGTAGTTCAGGCCAATAATATAACCTGGGGTTATGTAGGACCCTACGATCGTCTATTGGCCACCGATTATGTTTATAAGCCAAGCAGTTGGTTTAGCAAACAAACCGCTACAGTTGTCTATCCACCTAAGGTAAGTTTCAAATAATATAATTTTTATTCCAAAGTTTGAAAAATTGAAAACGGTATATATTTTAGGGACATATCAACTATGTGACTCTGACTGCTATTAAGGCCTGGGATTATGGTGGCCGCAAAAACTTTGGTTATGCCTCTTTGGTAAAGGGAGGTCCTGGTCATCGTAACGCTACTATTTATTTGAAGTCTCAAAGTGGCAAAGCTTTGAATTTCACCATTCAATATTTTGGACGTTAAAGGGAATTTTTTTAAGTTATTACTCGTCGATCATTATTAAGAAACAGTGTGAAATTTTTTTTTTTTTAAAAATTGTGTTTAAAACAAATAAATTTGAATGACTAGAATCATTTTCTGTTTGTCATACATATGTACATATGTAAATACGTATTGGATAAAAGTATATAAATATGAATAGAAGTTTCTGGAATTACCGCTAAATCTTTTGGACTTGACAAAGAAATAAACTAGAACTGAACTAGAACTGAAATAGAAGTGAACTAGAAGTGAACTAGAACTGAACTAGAACTGAACTAGAACTGAACTAGAACTGAACTAGAACTGAACTAGAACTGAACTAGAACTGAACTAGAACTGAACTAGAACTGAACTAGAACTGAACTAGAACTGAACTAGAACTGAACTAGAACTGAACTGAACTAGAACTGAACTAGAACTGAACTAGAACTGAACTAGAACTGAACTAGAACTGAACTAGAACTGAACTAGAACTGAACTAGAACTGAACTGAACTAGAACTGAACTAGAACTGAACTAGAACTGAACTAGAACAGAACTAGAACAGAACTAGAACTGAACTAGAACAGAACTAGAACAGAACTAGAACAGAACTAGAACAGAACTAGAACAGAACTAGAACAGAACTAGAACAGAACTAGGACTGAACTAGAACTGAACTAGAACAGAACTAGAACAGAACTAGAACAGAACTAGAACAGAACTAGAACAGAACTAGAACAGAACTAGAATAGAACTAGAACTGAACTAGAACAGAACTAGAACAGAACTAGAACAGAACTAGAACAGAACTAGAACAGAACTAGAACTGAACTAGAACTGAACTAGAACTGAACTAGAACTGAACTAGAACTGAACTAGAACTGAACTAGAACTGAACTAGAACTGAACTAGAACTGAACTAGAACTGAACTAGAACTGAACTAGAACTGAACTAGAACTGAACTAGAACTGAACTAGAACTGAACTAGAACTGAACTAGAACTGAACTAGAACTCAACTAGAACTCAACTAGAACTCAACTAGAACTTAACTAGAACTGAACTAGAACTGAACTAGAACTGAACTAGAACTGAACTAGAACTGAACTAGAATTGAACTAGAAATGAAGAGAATATGTAGAGAATCTCTACTAGAGATATTAAATCTGCATTTCTCTAACATTTGAGATCGTATTAGAATTGATCGTGAATTCACTGATCATAACCAGACCTTAAATTTTGCTTGAAATAGATAGGTAGCTCTCTGCTTACAGAGACAAAATATTGTATAATTTTTTTTATTAATATCAGCTGAACAAGCAATTACAAGTTCAAAAAACTCAAGTTATAAACAAAATGTCAATGGTATTTAAAAACACTTGAGGCGAATCCGCTAAAAAAACCTTTTAGAGACAGAGATTTTTTTGACATTTATGAGATTTTTCAAACCAGAGCTGTCAATGGAGTATTGTATTAATATTTTTATTTATTTTCCAATATGAATACAATTTTTAGTAGCATTTTTACTACAAACTTAAATTCACTTTCTTATATATTTTTTTTGGGTGGGTTTTATTAATGAAATTATTTTTCTTTCAATTAACATACATATTAAACCATAAACATAATTAAATATTTTCTTTATTTTAAATTTAAGTATAATAAAAAAAACTTCATATATTTTTATTAAAAAATATTTTTGTTATTTGCCATAAATTTCTACACGGAACATAAGACCATAATTGTATTGTGACTGCAGTTTAATGTTGACAAAATTGAAACCGGGTCCACCTGAATATATGGTTGCATGTCCGCCGGTGCCGTTTGTCACCTGATCGAAAGCTCTGATGCCGGTAATGATGCGTCCATTACCAATGCCCTGTTATGTTTTTAGATGAAAATACATTGT